GGTGGCCTCGGCTACCCACGACTGCTGGCGACCCTGCACGCGCCGCCCTGCCCACACGCTCGCGCCTGCCCTCGTGCTCGTCGCACGGCCGCCAGCGTGCTCGCCCGCATCTGCGCACCCCGCGCACCCAAGTCCTTCGCACACACGAGTCCGCCGCTAGCCCCGCGTCCGCTTTCCTGCGCGCCCCAGCTCGCGTCCCGTGCCGGGTCGGGTCAACCCCACAACCCGACGGGTCGGGTTCGGGTCCGTGTTTTCGACCCGTTTGCTTACCCGGGTCAGGTTAAGGTCGACCCGATTGAACCCGGGTCAGTTCCGGGTTCGACCCGAACCTAACCTGTGACCCAAAATTGACACCCCTGCATTTCGCTAGTAACATCTTAGATATAATTTTCAATTGTTAGATTAAATTGAACTGTATATATCTGACCATATTAGATGTCATTAAATATGATTAAAAAAATTTAATTATCAACCAGCTTCATTATTGATCTGATTATTTTGGTCAACTAATAAATATTTTAATCAGCTAAAAAAATTCAATCAAATCCAAGGAGAGATATCATGCAAATGATGGTTAGGATCCTCCCATGATGAGATTGTTTAGGAGATCTCTATTTTAGGCTCTCAAAAGATGGAGGGCAATTAAGAGATATCAAGATGATGAATGAAATATTGTTAACAAGATAAGAAGGGTGTTGAGGACGATCAAGATGGTCCCCTTTTTGTACGTGAAGGCGACAAACTTAGGGCAATGGATGAGGTGACACTAAAAGATTAGGGAAGTACTTGATGATGATAAATATAATCTTTTTATTGGAGTTAAAGGTGTCATAACCTTTAGGAGATGGATGAGGTTGCACTATGAAATTAAGGAGGATATTGATAGTAAGTACAATCTTTTTTCTTTGGACGTGTGGACAAGACAATATAATTTTGGATCGATGGATGAGACTATAGAAAGGGCACACAAGATAGTAATGCTGGTCGGGCTAGTCCTTCATAAAATGTAGTTAGAGCTCCATAATTCTAATGTGAGCTAGTGAGTCCTATGCCATAATTTCTCTTTTTTTTGGGTGTTTTGATGTCTAAATGAATTTAAATCTACATGATTGTAAACTTGTTGGAATCACCTTGATGAGATGCTCATTTTTATTATTGGTATCTACAATTCAGAGTTTTTTTCGACTATTCAAATAACTTTTGTAAGTTTTCAATTTTATGTATAAATATGCTTTTTAATATCATGTAGACCTAGATTTAGATGATTTTGACACCGTTGAATTCATCTCGGATTAAACCTCCCTAGCAAATGATATAAGTGCAACTATAGATGGAGAAGGATCACTGAAATCAACAAAAATTTCGAAAAAAAAAAATGCAAGAATCAATCAGAGAATAACAGTAGAGGAATGCCAAAATTAGGGGAGTTGCAAAAGCATCGCTCGTTGAAGTCGGAAACTCGTTAGTCTCATATAACAAAAATACAGTAATAAGCTTCCATGGCACCAAGTAGTCACATAATAGTGGAGATCCCTAAATAAAGCAGATAAATATCAATGGATGATAAGTGGAGGATCATCCACAAGAATCTATCAAAGTGATTAGCCACTGATAAGAAAGAGAATCTTCTTGGCAAACAGCAATAGTAGGATAGGAATCAAGTAAAAATCATCAGTAAACTTCAATGATATGATAACATCCTCGACATGCATACAAACTCCCATTTAGGGGAGTCAATTTCAGGTCACGGATTGGGTTTGGGTCAAACCCGAAACTGACCTAGCACTACTCGAGTTCGAGTCAATCTGACCCTTTTTTGCAAATGGGTCAATTTTTCGAACCCGAACCTGACCCACTTTGGGTTCGAGTCAACCCAACCCGACCAGTAAACGGGTTTGGCACCTTTGTAGCTGTTCGACTTCGCTCCTGGACGACGTTCTTCCCGTGGGATCAGAAGTTACAATGTTTTGATCGGAAGCACTGAATCAACGACGGGAGTTCGCTCGCACCCTCGCTTCCTCGTCGACACGCACCCTCGCTTCGTCGTTGTTCGACTTCGCTCCTGGACGACGTTCTCTTCCTGTCGGATCGAAAGTTACAACATTTTGATAGGATGCAACGACAGGAGTTCTCTGGCTATGAACTCGTGGCCCTCGCCAGCTCCTTCGTTGTTGTTCGACTTCGCCACTTGGATGACGTTCTCTTCCTGTCAGATCGGAAGTTACAACATTTTGATCGGATGCAGCGATGGGAGTTCGCTGGCTGTGAACTCGAGCCCAATACCGGCTCCTTCGTTGCTGTTCGACTTCGCTTCTTGGACGACGTTCTCTTCACGTCGGATCAAAAGTTACAACATTTTGATTAGATATAGCGACGATAGTTCGTTGGCGGTGAACGAAGGGAAGCAAATAACCAAACAGTTTTTCCGAGTCATTACGGGTTTTCGGATCAAACCGAACCCGACTCGGTTTAGCAAACTGGTCGGTTTTCTGGACCCGAACCCGATCCGCTTCTGGTTCGGGTCAACTCAAACCCAAAATTTTTAGGTCAGGTCAAATATTGACACCCTACCCTACTCCCACTTAGGCTTCATTTGAGATGACTTTTTTATTTCTTTTTAAAATAAAGTTTTAGTATAAAAATTTTTAATTTTTTTTAATTTTTGTACTAAAATTCTATTATAAGAATCAATAAAAAAGTCATCTCAAAAGGTTTCATTTGGGACGGTTTTCTTACTGCGTCTTAAATCAACTTTCTAGTACAAAATTTTAATTTTTGTACTAAAACATTGCTTCTTGTTTTCAAGCAGCAGTAAAAAAGTTGCCCTACCGAAGCCTTAAATTCAAATGCCGTAGAACAGTCAAACTGATCATCATACATAACACAAACATTTTGTTTTTGACAATCACCAATTTTGGCATTCACACTAAAAGTTTGATCCTCTTAGCATTTGATTGAGGAAAAGAATTCATTGGAACCAACAACTGACATAAATATCACTCTTGAATGTCACTGAGATAGTTTCTCCTTCATTTTCCCCACTTCATAGAAGTTAAGATAGCTTTCTTTCAAAACCATGAACCTTCCAAGTTGTTGGATCTATAGCTTCCTGGCACTCTTGCTCTGCTTTGAGATTACAATCATCCACAAATGTTTCAAAGACAAATCAATTGGGATGTTAAGCAGATATTAGTAATTTCCACATTGTTATTTCATGCTTAGGAAATCTTCCAATCCTCAAAACTCAAAAGTTTTCCTTCCGCTGAACACCAGAAAATTTTAGGTCTGGTGTAGAAGATTCCATTACTCCAATCTATGGGAACTTTACATAAATATATACAAGCGATTGATTAAGTATTGGTAGCATTGGCTAGTGATGCCTATGGCTTTGTGTCTTGTGCCAGGAAGAAAGATCATCCTTTCTATAGTTTATGGGAGTGACTGCCTTCCAACTTAACTTGCTGGATTCTATGGCGCAGCCGTCGCCGGTGGTCGTGAATTTTCCAAAGCCCATTTCCGAGCACCACAGTAGAGTAAATTCCATGAGTGATCATGGGAGCAAGAATATTACCAGTCTGAAATCATTAGAAGAGATGGTTAACTAAACTATTTCAGGTTTTTAGAGAGTGCAGGAATGGAAATAATCGAAGGAGCCTAAATTACCTTAATCCACTCAAAACCAAGATACAGTGCCAATAATCCTTCTAGAAGAGGAGAATATATCTTCTTCATTTGCCTTCTTTCATACCAAGCTGCATGATGAAACCGCTGTCAGATTTTTTGTTGCTAATAATGTATATCTAAGCTTTTTAAAGTTTTCTTTTCTCCATATTTCGTCTCATGAAAATATATGTTGTTTTGAAGTACTAGTATGGAATTTCCCATCCAAACTGAACAAAGAACTGGTGATCATGTGGAAGGTTATAGCTTGAATATAACTTTTTTTTTCTGATTTTTATAAATTTCTAGAACTAGAAGCAACTTACGGGTGTCAAAACGGGTGAGGTTTGTATTTGACCCAAAATTGATATGATTTGAATCCAATCAATTTGAATCCGACTAGTTTAATAAATAGGTCAAAAAATTGAACCTGAACCCGACCTGATAACCCCTTTTAATTAGAACAATATTTTTATTAGCTTATTAATTATATATTTAAGGTTGATTGATTAAAAATAAGAAGATTCTACCAATAAATAAAAGAATTTAAAAAAAAAATTATTAAATATGTTATTTTGGGTCAGAATCAGATTAACGGGTTAACCCAAATCTGATATGTTTAATAAACGGGTCAAAATATACGACCCAAATCTAACCCATTTATTAACCAGGTTAACTTGAACATGAATTTTCTAGACTGGGTTGATAGGTCAGGTCATTTTTTGACACTCCTAAAACAACTTTTCAATCAATAGCTATTAAAGGTTATCAAACTTTTTCCAAAGAAGAAATTATAATACGTACGAAATCAGATATTTCTATAATAATTCAACAATCATTTTTATAGAAAATTGCAGCCGCCTAAAAAGGAATCTTTGTTCCAATTCAGCTTACTGGATTTGTGCCAAATCCTTTCTTCTGATTTGCTGTTCTTCTATCTTTTTCATCCTTTTTTTAGAAGATAAAATGACAGTTCCAGTTGATGCTTGCCCATTTTATTTAAATTAAACATTAAACATGGATTCTAATGCCGCCAAAGGCATGCAATATTAGTTTTTTTATTTCATAAAGCTAACCTGCAAAGAGCTTCTTAAGATCATCATGGCCACATCTAGACTGCAACACTGGTGCAACTACATATGCAGGATCTGCAAAATAAAAACCAAGCTAAATAATATGAAGGTTTATAGTCATTGCACTCTAAAGAGTCCAGCAATAAACTCACCTTTTGGGCCAGCTGCAACATAATAAAGTGATCCGGTGAGAGCAGCTGTGATTGCAGCTGCAAATGCTTGTGCAAATGGGAACAAGGGAGGCAAAACACCGGTCTACAGTGGCATGAATCCCAAAATTAGATCTTTAGAAGAGGATTTATGAGACTAAAAGAGGATTTATGAGACTATATCACTACAGGAAATTACGCCGGTAAATAGTCCATTACCGGCGGAATTTCCGGCGGATTTCCGACGGATAAAGATGAAATATTTCCGACAAATTTTTAGAAAGATTTTCCGGCGGCTTTCCGGCGGAGTTTTTCTGTCGGACAGCCGCCAGAAAAGCTTTCCGGTGAAATAATTCCGCCGGAAAAAATTTCGATGGAAAAGTTTTCCGGCGCTCGATTTACCGTCGAAATCGTTTTCGTTTGAAATTCTCCGAAAATTTTTGAAATTTGCCAGAAATTGCGTCGGAAATACATTATTTTCCTGTAGTGTATGATCAATTTGTCACATTCAAGTTGTTGGCACATACCAGAGAAGCAATTCCACGAGCATCTTTCAAAAGTTCAGTGCTTCTCAGAAATATGTCTGACAATCCGCCCTGCAGAGATTACAGACCAAATTGGTTAAGCACCAAAACACTAGTTATAATTCTTACAAACTTGTTCTGTTAAGAATTTTGCTTTGGCAGTTCCTTTTAGCTTGTTGTAAAGGTTTCTTTACTATTAATTATTGCTTGTTGTTGTTGTTGTAGAGTTTATCAAGTGGTGAGGAGGATGTATAGAAATGCGATATGTTCAGATATGCTCACCAGTTAATGTGTAGTAAGCTCGCTGTTGAATTTTGAAGATTTCTGCACCTTTTCTCGTGTGTTTATTGAAGCGCAAGCAAATAATGCAGGGGTTATTTTTTGGTTGTTCGATAATGAGTTAATTATGCTTCTTGATGATGATTTTGTGAACATATGTGAGATTATGATTTCGTTTGGGACAGCTTTCATACTGCTTCTTAAAATAATTTTAAGAAGCAGTAAGAAAGTCATCCCAAACTAAGTCCGTATCTCTGTTTTGTACTGAATAATGCTTCTACTTCTTAATTGTAAACTTTTTAATAAAAAAAAATGCTTCTACTTCAAAGATCCTTATCATGTTAGTAATTGTGGACCAAAGCTAATTCAATCTGCTAATCACGTTTTTATTTCAATTCAAAATTTGAATTCTACGACAGAGAACTAATTATTTGATATTTCTACATCAAAATATCACTACAGGAATATTAAACTCTGCCACTCGCGTCAGCAAATCTACAAAAAGTAGTGAGCTTCCAACAACCATAAGAGGCCACTTATAACTCAACTTTTTGGACGAACGTTTGGTGGTCATGACGACGGCTAGTAAATCAACAAAAAAAATGACCATCCGACAACGGAATGAGGCTTCTTATATCTCTGCCATTTGCGACCAACTTTGAGATCGCAAGTTTGAGAAGAAAGTCCCTTAAGTGAGAGTGAAATTGTTCTGTGCGGACGTTAACGTCATCCGGAGATCAACCATAATACGTTATGTCACCTCCTACTCTGTACCTGGCTCAGTACTGCTCGGCATCGCGGCTCGGTACTGAGCTCGGTACCGCTGACTCCATTCTGATTGGTCTCCGGACGGCGAATTGCATTTGACATCCGCACAGAATAATCTCTCTAAGTGAGGACTTACGAAGACGACTAGATAGAGAACCAACAACAAATCCTTTGTTTTTACACCTAAGATGGGTAATTTATAAACCTTAACTGTTACAATAGTCTGTAATCTTTTTCTTTGGGATGTCTTAGATTTCTTTTGTGATAGATTTATTACTACTTCTTAAGCAGCTTTTTAGTAACAAAAATTTGACAAAGGTGGGTTGTATTCCAATAAAATGAAAATGATCATGAAGAATAAAATGATCTAGCAAGCTTGTATGATGTGGTCAAACTTGAAAGATTGATATAAACTATACTAGAGTGACATGGCTCACCTTGGTTTGTTGGTTGGAGCTTAGGCTATCAATTAAGAGGTTTTGAGTTCGAGTCTTGTGTTTGCGATGTGTGTGTGAGTTTATCTTAATTTGCCTAAATGTTATATACATATATATATAACTAAAACGAGTGAAATTTTTTTGAATGATAATCATCTATGTAATTTTCTGATGTATATGATTAAAATTAAATTTATTATAAATATAGCTAAGGTAGACTCACACACATATCACATATATAAGACTTGAACTTACGACCTCTTAATTGACAGCCTAAGCTCCCAATTAGGGGTGTCAAATCGGGTCAACGGGTTGGGTTCGGGTTGAACCCGGAACTCACCCGACACTGTTCGGGTCAACCCGAACCCGACCCATTTTTAAAAACGGGTCAGGTTTCCGGACCCGAACCCGACCCGATTCGGGTCCGGGTCAACCCGAACTCGACGCAAACTGGCGGTGCGCTGGTGTGGCAACATAAGCAGCGGCGGTGCGGCAACATCAGCGGTGGCGGTGCAGCAGCAACAGCGCGGCAGACCGGCTATGCGGCAGCAACGGCGACAGCCTCGAAGGAGGCGAATTGGCGGCTCGACGCAAGTGGAAGCGCGAGTCATTTCGCGGGCAGACTGAGCGGCTGCGAGTCTGCGACTGGACGCACACGCACGGGTCATTTTGCGGGCAGGGCGGGCACGCCGGGCAACAGAAATGGGCAGAAGCATTTCCGGGTCATTATAGGGTTTCCGGGTCAACCCGAACCCAACCCGTAACTCAAATCGTGTCAGATTTTCGAACCCGAACCCAACCCGTTTGGTAACCAGGTCAACCCGAACCCGGATTTTTCTGAGTCGGGTTCGGGTCGTGTTTCGGGTCGTGTCAAAAAGTGACACCCCTACTCCCAATCAACAAATCAAGATGAGCTGTGTATAGGACAACTTTCAAGTTTAAGGGTATCCCTTTTGTTCATATTAGGTATAATTCGAATTAGGCTAGGATTTATTAGTCTTTTCTGAGGGAGCCTCCTACTGTTGATGCTATTAAATGCTAGCGCAAAGGGGCGTGCCGTCTGGTGCATGATTCCTACAGCCGCTCCAAATAGACCAAAGAGTTTCCCTCATTTTACGAATAAAATAAAATAATTGAAATTTAATTGTGCCGTATCCTTCACTACTAAATTAATATGCTATAAAATTGCTTTTTGACTTTTAAAAAAACTATTTTCTCAACAAAAATTTTACAATAATCTTTACAAAAAAGTTATAGTCATCGCATCAATCATAAATTCACACATATTAAATATATAATTCTCAAATTTTATAAAATCTCAATTAAGAACTGCATGATTTATTTTTTTAAATAACCTAAAATTTTTTTGGCCCCCTGACTGTTCTACAGCTACTGTACATGCAATAACTACAATTCTAAGCTTCTAAGGAAATGCTTGCCGTGCGTTCTAACAATACTGTATACTTATTGTGATTTTGACAAACTCATAATGTTCTAATTAATTTCTTATCTTAAAAATAATTAAAAAAACAAACAAAACAAAACGATACTATTCTATTAAGGTCCTTTGGGAATCTTACCTGAACTGCAACCCGATAGAAGAGCTCCTCCCCAATCGAGCTCGCCATAACAATTAACATAAACTGCAAAATCCCATACCAGGACAGAAGTAGATCGTAAAATAACTTCAAACCACAAGAAAATAGAAACATTTGCAAAGCAGCGAAGCTCAAGCCACCTGCCATGGCGACATCCCATAGAAGAAGCTCCGCAGCTCCTCATCCTCCACATCTCTAATGGCTCGAGCATGAGGAGAGTATTTCACCACCTCATCCTGAGTATCAACATAAATCAAATAAATTCAACTTATAATTAATTAATACTCACAATATTGGAGCTAAGGAGATCTCGGATTACATCAAGGATAAAGAGAAGAGCCATAATAGGCGGAGAAGCGTAGCCCAGACCGTCGATTACAGCTTCGAGGGACGGCTGGAAGCCTCCCGTCTCATCTATGCCGGCAATCGAACAAATCCACTTCCCCGCCACTGCCATAGCTCCATAAATCCCTGATAAAATTCATCCTTAATTAAAATAAAGAACAAGTAATCAATTCTCTGTTTCGGATCTAGGAGAAGAAGAAGGGTAAATACCAATTCCATAACTCAACCGGACTACTGCACCGAGTTTCTCCCAGAGGGGGAAATCGGCCTCTCGGCCGAGGTCGGCAGAGGAAGAAGAAGGCGGTGCCGATATCTCCATTGCGGGGCCCGCACCAGCAGCGAGGCTTCTCCCTCTGTTTGGAGCGCCGCCGTCGTCGATCCTCTCCGCCGTCGACCGCACCGACGCCCTTCTCATCCATTTTCTATCTCCTCGTCGAACGCATAACCCGCCCCCGGATAAGAGAGACAGAGAGCTCGAAGAAGCGATGCAGCTCAGCTCCATGCGCTCACCGAAGAGAAAAAGCTATGGGCTGAGGTATTGGGTTTATGTTAATGGAGGCTGCGACATTTGGAGGCGGTCGAGAGAGGAGTTTCCGTCTAACGGGTCGGGCCACTGTCGAACTCTTCGCTTTGTCTTATCTCGCTTATTTCTTGGGAGGTTTATATAGAAAATTTTTTAATATAAATTTTAATTTAGACGAGTTTTAAAATACCTAAATTTATTTTTATTATAACTAAAGTTATAGTTAAATATTTGAAACTTTTTTTATTTCTACAATTAAAATATAAATTGCAAATATTAAAAAATATATATTTCACTTCAATGAATTATTATTTATGATATTTTGATATCACTGATTTAAATGTTAAATAAAAAAGCAGAATTTACTTCTATGTTATTGGATCGATAAGATGTATTTTTAATATATTTATTTGTATAATATTTTATTTATAAATGAGATATACATTTATTATTTTAGATGAATTAAAATTAATATTTTTGTTTTCGAATGCCATTTTAAAATTTAAATATTAATTAAATAAATATAGAAATTATAGATATGTAAATATATTTACTTGGAGAAATGTGAAAACAAGACGACAAGGCCTTGCTGTTACTGGGGTCGCCCATTGGTTTCTTTTATTTTTATGCATCGTCACCAACTACGGCGGGGCCCGCAGCGGGGGACCTGTGGAGTCGAGTGTGGCACCGGGGAGTCGAGTGTGGCACCGGCCGGGCGCCATCGAATCGCCGTTGGAAAAGTGACGGGATTCATCGAATGCTTTGAGTGATTCCGTGTTTGAATATCCCAGTTCGTCAACCCCGTTAGGAGTGAGATTTGCTGTTCGTGCCGCACAGCGAGCTGGACAGTCACGGTAGCCTGGAGTGCAAGTTGTGGGGCCCATTCGTTTTGTGAATGGGGTCGTGTTAGGCCATTGGTTGACTGAAGCCGAGTGATTGACATGGCGGACAGGTGATTGTTTTCAGTTTTCTGTTAGGGATTGGCTCTTGATTTTTTGTCGGGGGAAAATATGGATTGGCTACTGTGAAGAAATTTCGTTTGGGCCAATGGTTTTAAGCCAGGAAGGATACAGATAAGAAAAGAATCTGACGTGGAGGATTCTGGAGTGTGCCTCATCCACGAAGGAAATCAGGCGAGATTCTGCGCTGTACTCTAAATGTTTTTATTTATTTATTTAAAAAAAAGAAGAAGATTAGGTACTATCGTCATCGATTTGTTAGCAATAAATTATTTATAATAATCTAAATTTATTTTTTTAATAATTTATAATCTAATTGATATGAAGAAGATGAGCCAAAATGTTCAATGATATGAACAGCTTCTCAATCAGTCAAAATGATCTACATCAAGCACTTGAAAGTGCAAGAATTTCTTAGGACCATTTGAAGGGTAAGATGTTCTCTGACCTACATATTTGTAGTTGAAATGAATATTTTTATAAGAAAAATTTGATAATTTTAAAATTATTTAATTCCAATAATATTTAGTCGTGATAATTTATACATAGATCAAGTGTTTATATAGTGGAGAAGAATTTTAAAATATATTTTTGACATATATATATATAATTCTATAGCTTCATTAACTTAAATTTACATTTGTCATCAATATCCTCTATCAAGGGTAGGCAGCACATATTATATCTTTTTGTCCTATCAAACTATCCAACTAAAACTTTATTCAATTTAGATACTATATGCTTTGGACAAATTGGCCAAGAGTTTGCCCTTTCAATACACCTTTTTAGGATAGTCAGCTATCCCAAGTGTGTTCCAACTTGGGCAAGCTTAATTCTAGAATTATCAGGGAAATTTAATCTATGTACCAAAGTATATCTCCATATTTAAGAGCTTTGCTTAATTATATTGAAGATATCTTATTATCTCATTAACTTTAATAACTGTCATTTTTATTAGTAACCTTTTAATTATTCATTGGAATGATAGGATTCTAATAGTTAAAATTATATACTCAAATAGAAAATCTCCCGTCATTAAAAAAAAAATGGTATTAAAAGGGGATCAGTATACCACATTATCATGTTAATCCTATTATGAATGTTGAAATTATCATTCATTAAGATAGAAGTTAGTTGAATGAGATACTCCGGTCTAGGTGAAGATCTCACGTGGACTCAGCCTTTATTTATTTATTTTATTTCTTTTTTATAGTGGACTCAGTCTTTATCTTCCCTCAAAAGTCTAACTATTTTAAGTTATTACTATAAATTATCATTAATTTTCTGAAGGATCCACTTGTATTTATTTATGTTCCACCACAAGCTTCATAATTTTCACTTGTGATATGTCATCTCAATATGAATGGAGGTGATGTCTTTCACCATAAAAGTCATTCGATCTCCAACCATCATTACTCTCTTTTGTGCATTCTCCTACTTTTTAGCAACATCCTAAGATTTATATCCTTGTTAGCTACATTCATGGTTAAGGTAGAGGAGATAGCAGGAACTAAAGCTATGTATTTATCAACTCCACAAATTTATCCCACTTAGAGCTTAAAGGGTATGAATTCTTATATCTCAATCAAATGCAATGACACTATCTTCTTTAACTCTATTATCACCTCCTTTATTTCCTAGGTACTCATTTTTCTTAGGTTAAAACCTTTGGGGATGGTATATAGAGTGGGAGTCTCCACCACTTCAATGTCTCATCTCTTAATTTTCTCCTATTTGTTCCTTTCTTTGGTCTCATACTCAATATTTACATCAAATTCTACAATTATGTGCTCCTCCTCGTGGCTATCTTCAACTAGAGGAGACTCGTCATTATAGTCCTTTGATTCATCTTCCTTTTCATCTCAACATCGTCATTTCCCCTAGCATTTATTTTAGTGATTATTATTATTTCCCTAACAAACAAGGTGTTCTCCTCCTTTCTCAAAGTCTTCGTGATCCTGTCCAATAACTTCCATCTCACTAGCTTGAGTTAAAAGTCTCCTTCACTCTTCATGACCTCCACTTTTTTTTTTCTAACATTAAGGTCCATAATATTAAGACCTAAAAAAAATAATCATGAATGGGCTTGATAAAAATATCTTAAGCTTTTAAAGCTACCATGGTGGCAACTTTTTTGTGCTTCTCCTAGCTTTTGAACCTTCTATTGCTTAAAGATGGTTTACTCCACATGTTTAATGATGACTTGGAAACAAAACATTCTTTCACAAAATTCATGAATGAATATAATATTTTGAAAATTTGCACACTACACTATTGTGTTTCTAAATATAATTTATTAAATTGAAAGATCACTCAAATATCTAATACAACCCCTAACACTCATATGCCCACCAAAATTATGACTAATGTGAGCTAACACTAATAGATTTGTAACATTAATAGAGATGCATTTTTCAAAAGTCACATCTTAGAGGTCTCTCTCTCTCTCTCTCTCTCTCTCTCTCTCTCTCTCTCAAAAATGCCTTTTAGAATTCTATATCAAGATGTCTATTAAGGATTCTTCTAAAAAATTGTGTCAACAATGTTGGTCATCCTTCTCCTTAACATAACTTATCTCTTAAGCATTAAATGTTCTAAAGCATGCCTTCGATGCAAATTCTAGTAATATTTATAGATGGTCTTATTAAATATGTCATACCATGTTGCCTTCAAGAAACATTTTTAATGAAGAGCATTATCATCATAATATATTTATGAACATGTGTCCTAAATTTATGGCTATATCATAGACAACTGCACTCCCTCACTAACTCACTTTTTGCTCTAAAAGGGATCGGGGACATCTGAAAAGCTAAACCTATATATTATTTTTGTTTTTGGCTCCATTATGCAATTTCTTCACCTTAAATTACACCACTGCTCAATTGTATTACCATATCACATGATCTATCTAAAGATATAATCCTAGTATGTATTCCTTCACACATTTGAGCGCACCAATGATCATTATTCCTCTATTAAGGTGCCACACAATTTATTTATCATTACCACTCTAATGCCATTATCTCATCACCATTATGCTCATATAAGTCACAACATTTCATTCAACTAGGAATACCCTGTCATTAGAATGGTTCATTAGTTACTAATCATAAAATCCATGTTCATAAGATACTCTTGTTGTAGTCACCATAGCCTCATCTATGCTCTTTTACTCTTTATATTTTATCTAGAGTAACTACATACAATAGAATATTTATCTTTCTTATATGAACATTAGAATGTGTACTATATTCTCAATCTCTAGAAAAAATCAATTTCCACCATTCAAAGTATAAACAACTGTCGGGTTGAAATGCAGTTAAGAACGGAAATCAGAAATCGACAGCGTTTGGTGGTCGGGCAGAAATCCAACTTCAATTGTCGGTCGGGCAAAAGTCCGATTTTAGTCGCTAGTCAAGCATAAGTTTAGCGTCAGTCGATGAACAATCATAAATTCTGTTGATGGCTGGGTGGAAGTCCGGCTTTTAATGTGGAAGAGTTTGGTGGCAATAGAACTCAAGTTTTTTTCTTCTTCCTTCTCTTACTTTCTTCCTTGCTTGGGTCCCCTTTCATGAGAAATGAGAGATTTATTTATAGTTTTTTTAGAGCGAGATTATCAGTAAGTAGGAGGAAAATCAAGGATAAATTGGGAGTGGTTTGAAGAGATGATTAATTTTGATTCCCTTGATCGTGAAACATTTACTGGGCAATTGAATGTCTTAATGATATCAGAATTTCGCGATCCTAGGCTCGTTGGACTCGTCTCATCAATCCGTTTGATTCAAATATAAGCATGTCACATTTGGAAACATTTTGGTAATCCAAATTATGGTTTGAACCTTTTAAATGTGCTTTAAGTCTTTCATTTAGACTCATTTGGCCTCAGATTGACTTAAATTTGGTATCTTTGGGTTCGTATTTCTAAGACGTTTAGTTCAACTATAAAATTGCTGAAATTGGAGTTCAGATAATCCCAGATTTAATTTTTTGAAGTTTCCAACTTGATTTTGCTTTGAGATTTGTGCCTGATCAAGTTAAAATTTTTATGATATTTTAGTTTCCTCCATATTTTTGGACGTCAAAGTTTTAGAAGTAAAAAAATAAGTATCAACGCATTTAAATTGATCGAATTGTAAAAAATGCTTGGAAATGGGTTCCAATTT